TGAGGGCCACAGTGAAGGTGCTCTCTGCTGACACTCCTGACACCAGACTGTATGCACTGTGAAGATTTTAGAGGAGCTGTTTTTCAGTTGCAATCCCACACAACCAGCCTATTTTAGTCGACAATCTAACTAACATAAAATCACCACTCCTTTCCCTCATGTGCCAACAGCCTTTGAATTTAATTTGTGTAGCTCTACTCTCTTTTCCTTGAGGGTGAGTTCCTCAGGGATTTTTCTTTCCTGCACAAAAATATATCCCAGGAAGATGGTTCAGATGCTAGGATTCATGTGTCTGAAATTTAAACTAAGAAACTAGGATTTCTGCTGCATTAACCAATCTATGCCTTTTAATACAAATGACTACACAGGTAGTTACAAAATGTCCATTGGAATGTATGGATATTAATGGACTATATCTTTTCCTAACTGCAGCAAAGGAAATGACTGGATTTTCACAGCAAATATTTATCAGGCTCTTTTATGTGCACCGTTTTCTAGGCACTAGGAGTACATCAAGGCACGAGTTAGGATAAATAGCCCACAAATAGCATATGGACTTTTGTTGTAAGTTTCGGCTAGTCTTAAAACACTCCTTTAAACTTCCTGGCAGCCTCTGAATATCTCAACATCCTCCTTGTTTTTTTTTATTTTATTTCAGCATATTATAGGGGTACAGATGTTTAGGTTACGTATGTTGCCCTTGTCCCCCCTCCACCCCTAAGTCCAAGTTTCAAATATGTCCATTCTTCGGGTGGTGCGCATTGCACTCTTTGTGTATGCAAATACCCGTCCCCTCCTCCCTCCCCCCCCCCGCTCAACATCCAATAGATGTTATTCTTATATGTGCACTTATGTGTTGATCAGTTAATACCAATTTGATGGTGAGTACATGTGGTGCTTGTCTTTCCATTCTTGGGATATCTCACTTAGTAGAATGCGTTCCAGCTCTATCCAGGAGTATACAAGAGGTGCTATATCACCACTGTTTCTTAAAGCTGAATACACTAGTGCAACCTCTGTGGAAAGCAATATGGAGATACCTTAAAGAGATACAAGTAGAAGTACCATTCAATCCAGCAATCCCATTACTGGACATCTACCCAAAAGAGCAAATGATACTGTATAAGAAAGACACCTGCAACCGAATGTTTATAGCAGCACAATTCACAATTGCAAAGATGTGGAAACAACCCAAGTGTCCTCCTTTTTTTTTAATGTCAAAAGTTTACTGTAAACTACATACTTGGAACAAAGTAGGTCCCCAGGATAAGTGTTAAATAAATAATCCACGTCATTGAAACAGATTAATATTATGGGAGAAGTGTCCAACATATTACCCTTGTATTAACTCAGATATATTCTTCTATGTATCTCTTGCATCTGTTTCTCACTGCTTTCAGCTCAAGTAACTCCCCATATATGATGCTTCTCCAGACAGGATACACACACATCCCCTTTAATGCCCTTCTATCTTTCTCAGGTCCAATGACCTCAACATGGTCTTTGACTTCTTAAACCAGTTGAACCTACTCATAACTTTCCTTTACGATAGCCACAAAAGTGAGACCTTATCTATTTCACTATCCTAATTGAATCAGATTTTTCTTAAACATTGGCATTTATAAGTCTGTTGTATCATTATACTTAACTAGTTAAAAATCACATTTGCCTTTAAAAGGACACTACTTTTAATTTCCAACACAGCATTTCAACTACATCATAATCTGTGATATAAAGGATATGTTTTTTCTAAGAAATTTTGAGTTTTAAATAGCTAACTTTCAGACTGTAGGTTCATGTCATTAATTGATCTAATACAAATGTAACTTTAGAATAGTTTACTCAAACCAAATGCTACAAAGTTATACAAAAGCTACCAAATATAAAATTCTCTATTTTTTAAAGTAAAAAATTATTCAAAACCACTATAGTCCAGTAAAAAATAGAAATAAAGAGAATGAGTGTATATGTTATTGTTAAGGGAAGTGTATTGTCACTGGATATTACATATGGATAAGTTATTATATGCAATATAATTACTAATCAAAATAAGTGTTTTAGAGAAGATTTCAAAGCTCATGGAGAAATCTTTGACAATGTGTACAAATCTAAATTCCTGATTGTAATAACTGAAAGAGTGAGCTTGAATGAAAAGATACAGGGTGTGAAGATAAAATAGCAACAAACAACTTACAATACATTCATGTTTGTACAAAATTATTTATTATTCATTTATTGATTTAAAAACAAAAGTGATTTTGGAAGAATATTTCTTTGTAACATTGTATATATATAAAAAGTTCAGCTACTTGGGAGGCTGGGACTGGGGGGAGGATCACTTCAGCCCAGGAATTGGAGGCCAGCCTGGGCAACATAGGGAGAACCCATCTCTAAAAAAAGAAAAAAAATAGTTGACAAGTTGACTCTTTGGTTTATCATTTCATCCTTTTTGTTTTAAATATTCTAGAACCTACCTGAATATTATGATAAAGTTTTTTTTAAACAGCATCACATAAGTCAACACATAGTCAATATAAAACAATAAATTCTACTTTGTATCCCTTAGCCATAGCCCCATTGAGAATCAACAGATATTCACAAACCACAGAAATATCTGTGGGGTAATACTTGAATAACTAGATAGATCTTGAGTCAAGCTGAATACAAACAATTCAACTTTTTCCATTGTTTATCTAGATCGCACTAGACATCATCTCGATAAACTAGGTATTTGCTTCTGCAAGTGTAGACTGCCAACATATACCCATACCTCAACACATCATGTCAGAATTATGGCTAATCTCCATCATTATAATAGAGGGATATCGGTGTATTCAGGATATAGGGTCACTTACACTATTCTGAAGCCATCTGCCAAGAACTACTTTGAAATTATACCCACTTTCTTTAGTTTCTGCAGTACTATGTAGAGAGTAAAATTATATTATCAAACTTTAATATCAAAGTGCATCTAAGTAACATTATCTTTCCCTCAATATCAATATGAGAAGAAAAATAAACTATATTTTTTGAAACTATTAAATCCACAAACTGTGATAGTGTCTGTTTTAAACTTAAATGTTGAGTAAATTTTTTCAAGTATTGTATTCTTGGTCACTCTTAACTGTGGGGAGTTTCTCAGTCATGGAAACTTGAGAAAGTTATTATGTACAGATTCTGACATACAAGTATTTATGGAGGAAAAACAAATAGAAGGAAAATAACCAATGCAAAAAGGCAGGGGAAAATAAATCTGCTGTGCAAAAGCCCAAGTTACCTGTCAGGGTTGGATGAAATAAAGCATCATGTACTTCCCAATTCCACTTCAGAGGAAGATCTTAGGAACTATTTAAAAGGACGTTTCTATAAGCTATCTATGTTTCCAGAAATTAAGGAAGTTGCTGTACAAAAAGGTAACAGGCTTTTGCTTGTAATTGAACATGATTAAACTTCTAGTCTTTACACAATTTCAGCTTTAAAGTCACATTGCACTAAATTTCAGGGCTTTCCATTTCAGAGCTGCCTAATGGCAATTATTAATAGTTCATTATCCTCTGAGCTCTGAAAGATTTCCCCACCCAATACTAACCAAGAATGGGTAATATTAAAGTCCATCTAGTTTAGTTAACTGTGGGTTCTGGACTTTGTTAAGTTCCCCTCACCCCCATCATATTTTCTCTTGTCATGTTTCTTTTCATGGTTTTTAAATACTATGGCAAGTTATTTCATGACGTAGATATTCACATGTGACTGAAACTTGCATTTTTAAAACTGCCCCCATAGCAACTTAGAATATATTAAGTAGTATGTTTAAAATGATGTAAAAACACTTCATACTTCTCACACGATGCACTGCTTCTTGAATTCTGTCCTTTGTGAAAGAAGCAAAGCCAAGTTAAAGTCTCTGGAATGGATATGGAGCTTTTATTTCATTACTCTAAGACAGGCAAAGGGCGTCTTACAGTCTGAATATCATCATCAAACAATGAAAGAACTAAGCTAGGTCTCACTTCTCATTTTCTGAAAAATACTTTTATGAAAACACTATGCGGTTATACCATATTTGGCACAACTTAAAAAAGAGCAAAAATTGTTGCAAGCAAAACATCTCAGCATTGTCATGCTAATCTAACATAAAAAATTAGGCAGAAGTTTACATTTCTAAAAGCTTTTATACACTAAAAAAAGGAGGGGGAATAGTTCAGGTTTTCTGAATTCCTGCTGACTTGCTATAAATTTGAAGTAAAAAAATGTCTGTAAAGGATCAGCAGCTGATAGGTGAGTAGAAACTCCCTGAGTTCAGAGTAGAAAGAAGCACACCCTGGACAGTTTTCAAAGATTTAGAAAGATAAATTCCAGCGAATGTAACTGTACTACATGAGGCTGACAATTGGCAAACATTTCAGGCAAAATAAAAAATGTGCTGAGCTGTATAGTTGAAATGGTACTATTGTTGCCCAAACAATTGTACAATGCTACACAGGAAAACTAATAAAATATTAATAAAATATAATAAATCCTGTAGAAGTTGAAGTTAATTAAAAGCAAAAAAGATTTTGTCCTATTTTCTTATATTTTTGAAGATACAAAAATGCATAAAAACATGTTATAAAGGATCACTGATAGTAGTGTGATTCTTTTTTTAAAAGGAAAGACTTTGGAATCAATGCTTAAAAGCCACATACCATCTCTCCACAAAAGTTTCTAATTGAGACTTAAGAAGATTTTCAGTCTGAAGAAAAGAATTTAAATACATCTGTTTTTTACCTTACCAATTAAAAATCATGTGTTTTCAGAGAAAGTTCATCTATAGTGGATACTAACTTTATCACATAGAACAATAACTTTACTGTACATTAGTACATTGGTGAACATATACATATACTTATAATTCTGTCCTTACAGAAATCTATTGGCACATAACAAAAACTGTCCACAGTATTCTTTGGACAAATATCTATGTAGCCTCATTCATTTTGTATCTTAATAGCTATTTGCAATTATAGTATTTTATTTATTTTTGTGTATGAAGTTTCCAAACTTTTGCATAAATCCTCGAAACTTGTTTTCATTTGGTTGATATGAGTGGTAAACACCAGTGTTGTAATTAAGCATTGGACTGGACCTGCCATAACTGTTGCCCATAGTTGTAGATTTTATTTCTGGGCGATTTATACTGGTATTTGGCATGTTGCCTGTTGGCTGAATGGAGCTCTCAATCTTACAAAATGGTTCAAAACGACTGTAAACTCGTCGGTCAGTCGAATGAGATCGTAGAAGCTCATTGGGCTTCAGCCTTGGAGAAGAAGTCGGTCTTCTTTCAGGAGCAACAACTGCCTTTATCTCTTTTGAATCTCGGTATTGGATTTGTTCCGTGTTAAATCTCGGGGCAGAAGCATCTCCTGCCCTTTCCAAGGACTTACTTTCAACTGGACCTGGGGAAGGTATTATTTTATTACCTTCATCTGAATTTATTCCCTGAGAGGAGCTAACCGTTACATCTTCCTTACTCTTGTGGATGCTGCCTTGGGAGTTTGATGAGGAAGAACGCTTTCTTCTAGGAGATGAATCAACTTTTGGTTCTGATTTCTTCGGTTTTTGATTTTCTTCACCCTCAGAAACTAAGGTGTCAGAGCTACTACACATTTTATAAAAGGCAGGTGCTTTATTTTTGGATAAATTTTCTTTCTTTTCTGGGGTAAGGCTAAGTAACGACCTTAACTTCTGAGATCCCTTTTTCAAAAAACTTGGGGAACCCTTAACTTCCTTCTTGGAAGTGAATTCTTTGTTGGGTTCCTCCTTATTCACATCAAGCAAAGCAGCGATGGAAACTGATTTGGGAGTGGTGCCACTTGGGGGTTCTCTCTCGATAACCTCCTCCTCTTCCACGTTACGTGTCACATTGTGCATGCTTTTGGCACTTTTTAGCAAATCTTCTTTGGGTTTTTCTGGTTGTCTCACTCGATTCCTGGTAAGTGTACTATATACATAATGCTTACTATTGCCGTGATCTAAATTGGCTTTTGAGTGGTCAAAGAATGGGAAACTTCGCCTTTTAAGTAGATGCTCATTTTGTTGATTCTTTAGATTTTCTGTCGGCTTATTTACACACAAGGTTGTATATATATAGTTGTTTGATTCTGCATGGCCATTTGTAGTTTGGTTTAAGGCTGCTGAACGGTTTTCGGGAACCTGCAAGGTGTGCATTTTTGATGCCTCTGACTGTGAAGGGAGCTTGGGGATCGCTTCTGGCCCGGGTTTGTCTGTCAAAGGCTGCACACTTGTAGGGGTGTCTGGGACCTCTTTAGGTGTGTCACTTCCCTGGGAACCAATGATAGTTGAATTTGAGGAGCCAGTTGTACAACTGCTAACTTCCTGTTGCTCAGGTAAAGTTGGTTTAAATACAAAAGAGGAACGAAGCCGAGAGTGAGTATAAAGGGCACTGGCTTTCAAATTCTCCAGACTGTCACAGCCCTCAAATCGTTCAGCCAAAGCCGATCCATTTGGGTCAGGCGTAGCTTCGGAATGATCATTCAAGTAGGATTCAATTCTCCAGTTCCGTAGGAATGACCTCGTGGTATGCTCAAGGGTTGGCATTCGTTGCTGCAAAAAGCGGATATGGTTATCTGTGCCGTTAAAAGACCTCCGCACGTTGGAGTTCCTGTCTGCAAGGTTTGTCTTCCGCTGGGCGAGGCGGTCGGCGAAACTCTGGGCAGGTGTGTTCCTGCGGCTCGCACCGCCCCCCCGCGACGAGGATGCCACGCTGAGGCTGTCCGGAGGCCTTTTCCAACCGCCAGGTGGGTTATTGGTTCTATTCAGCGCTCTGCTAAGCAGGAGGTATGGCGTCGTTTCTGGCTGTTCCCCGGCGTAGCTGTGCCTTTTCCAGTTTTCGTTGATCTGAGTAGGTTGAAACTGACGCATTGTATTTGGACCACTGAAGTTTGGAACAAAATGAGGTTTGTAGCCATGATTTCTGATGTTATATTTGTCATGTTCATTTTGAGCATAGATCCCTCTGTTTTTGAAGTAACTAGAATCTAGTTTATGAATTTGGTCTTGTCGACCAAAAAGGTTTCTTTGGCTGGAAATGGAAGCTAATGAAGCAACGGAGCGCTGGCAAGTGCCGTTTTCCCAGAGTGCTTTGCCATGCTTCACTCGTGCTGATTCTTCTTGAGCAAATGAACTGGGCACACAGGACCTGGCATACAGAGTTCTAAATTCTTCATCGAAGGACTCGACAAGTTGTCCGGTGATTATCTGAACCATGCTGAGGTGAGCTTTCTCAAATGACCACATATAGCTGAAAAAAATTAAAAAAAGGAAAATTTTCAATTTTGCTAAGTCAAAAGATTGACACTAATATATAGTTCTACTAAAAAAGTATCACTTAATGCCAACAAAAGAGTGTTTTTGCATGTTTATCGTGGCTACCATAATTTAGAATATTTTCAGTCACTACATACATGCTTGCAATACATGTGTCTCCCCATCCTCATATTCATATTTTAGATAACAGTGCAACTCAAGTTAGGGCTTTGAATCCACTGATAATTTCGTATCTACCTTCCAGAAGTCCAAAGAAAAGCTTGGATTTTGCATCTATGCCTAGCAAGATTTTATGGGGTAAAAATTGAGTGATATTTCATATACAACATCCTGGCAGAATGCAGGAAAGCCAGCATTGGAGGAGAAGTTGAGAGACTTGGTTTTTGTTGAGTTGTAGCCACATGAGTTTGGGGCTCACTTTCCTCATGTTGAAAATGAGGACATGGTCAGCATAATAGGTACAATGCCTTACAGTTCTAATATGATACAATGTAAGATACCTCTGTGCTAATGCATGTATTTTAAGAGGCTTGGTGTTTTCAGACTGTTATCGCTGTGGCTTATTCAGTAATTACAATTTAGACTACCAGGAGCTATAAACAGGATCAGTGGGCAGCAGCCTCAGTCATTAAAGGGCAGATTTCATATACTCAGTGTACACAGTATTAGTAAATGTAGTCCTCAGAAACCATGCCACTCAAAATGCCAGTTGGGATCTTTTAATATGGAATATACTTTTGGTAAATTAAAGTTTGTATGACTTTGCAGTACTTTACGGAACTTCCAATTCCTTTCCTAGAGTTTACAAGTGATGACTATTTTGAAATTTAAAATCAAATTTTAAATCTGATTTTTGAAAACCTATGTGATGTATATAGATAGAGTCACTGAACTGAAAGCTAGATGAATTGCTAATATGCTATACATCAAATAATGGTATATGACACAAGGGAAGTTAATATAAAAGACAAAGGAGACAGAGACATTCTCCACATTGAAGGATTTTACTATTTAT